CGGAACTTCTAAAAATGTCAAAATTACCCTTATAAATACATGACACATTAACCCCCTATGATTTTTATATTTTACCATATAACCCCCCTATGGTTTAATACTTTACCATATAACCCCCTTATGATTTTCAAAACATACACATAACCCCCCTTGGTTAATACATAAATTTCAACCTTACATAAGGGTATTTTTGACATTTTAGGTGACGCCGTTACAAGTGACTATTTCCGTTACTTTGACACTTTAATCCAAACCATAAGGGGGTTATGTATAGCTTTTGAAACCATAGGGGGGTTATGTGAAAAAATGATAAACCACAGGGGGGTAAAGTGGAATTTGCCCTAAATTATATCTAAGATCTGATTTTGTCTCTTTTTTTTTTTTCTGATTTTGCCTCTTCACTTATGTAACTCCCTGTATAGCCAGCAATAACGACATCCTTCTCTACGACAACTATCAATCATGCAATTATCAATTTCTGAAAAAACGAATTATCTACTATCAATCATGCAATTATTGGTCTTCGAATTTTTAGTTTTTGACACGACTACAACTAAAAACTTTCAATACCGGCTAATACATTTCTCTCCTACGAATACTGGCATATAACAATAGTTTTTTGGACCGTTGCTCAAATACTGTAAGATTTTATTAATAAAAATATCTATCGTTTTAAAAAAAAAAAAAGAATACTGGCATATAACAATAGTTGTGAAGAACTCCCCCCTCCCCCCTCCTCCCCAAAAAAAATTTTTTTGGGTGAGGGCACAATATTGTTATAATGCACTTTAAGAATATGTTGACGTCTTTTTCATATCTTTAGGTATGGATAAACTTGGAAGTCTTGCCACCTCTATATTTGACTATCAGTATAGTATTGTTAGATTTTATTTTTTTTTTAATTTCTCTTAATTGTAGAATTAGTTTTAAGAGACACTACAAACTACACACATATAGATAATAACACATAAAAATCACCAATTACCTTCAATCAGATCAGAAGAAGACCGATACTGTGGCATCCATGACATATATGCCTGTACTAAATGAGTTTTTATCGAGTTAAGCATTATTAATTCTTAAACCATTCTGAACCAGTATGTGACAAGACTAGGTGCCAAGAACATCACATAATTAATCAACATTATTGATTTCCATTTATGAAACTTGCAAGAAATTGAGCAACATGTTGAGAAGTACAAAGATTTAACATCATTGTTCATTTGGATAAATATTCATCCTGGTAAAAACCTCTGACACAGTTGTCTAAGCTGTTGTCACAAAGGAGATTATAAACTCCTTCACAACCTCACAAAGGACTTTAGTTTTGGTAGACTCAAACATGTCAATTCCATGATAACCTCCTTCAACAAAATTAGTCACCACGGGAACACCCTCGCCTTCTAACATTTTGGCAATCTCAAATTGGCGATCAAACAATGCATCATTTTCATATCCTGCCATTAAAATCTTCCATCCTAAAGCTTTAATCTGATCGAATTGTCCAGGTTTGATGCTCAAAACTGGATTAGAAAATTCATGATCTCGGTCAGCACCTACGGGCAATGAAAGTTCCCACAAGACATCAGTAACACAGGGCGGTATAAATGTGTCATTCAGAGCCCTCAACTCCGATTCTGTCCTCTTGTTGCCACCAAAAAATGCTTGGTGCAAAATCAACCCTTTAATATTCAAAGGCTTAAGATCATCAACGCATGAAGATGCACTCAAACCAACATGATAGGCAATGTTTCCCCCTGAACTGCTGCCCATGAGGAAACTGTTTGATAAATCTGCATACTTTTCCAACCATTCGTCTTGTGAATTCTTGATCCAGTGCAAAGCTTCCAAGCAATCTTCGTAGGCTGCCGGCAGCCTGTGCTCGGGAGCAAGACGATGCTCGATTGATACGACTACAAACGGGACCTCAGTAGCTAAAGCTCTATGAAAATCATCAAAACCGGTCGTGGCCACGCTTAAAATCACGAATCCTCCACTGTGAAAGTAAATCAGGAGCGGAAGTTTCCTGCCTGGGAAGGATTCAAGTGCTTCTTTCGGTAGGAATATACGGGCGCCAGTGTTCTTGGATTGGTTAATGGGGACATCTTTGACAAGAAGGATAGGGCTGCCATCATAGGAGGAGACGGGTGTTTTTGGATGTTCAAATTGACGCGTCACTGAGCCGTCGGGGTTCCGGACTAAGCCCATATGGCCATAGGGATCAGCATGAGGATCAGCGAATGAAATTGCTGCAATTGGATCAGCCATAAGAGATGAGAATTTTGACTGCCTTTTGGTGTCAGCTTTGGAGCCAGCGTTCATGAGTTTGACGGTATTTGAAGACTTGGAAGTGCACAGAAAGAAAGGTTAAAGGGTCATTTCGCTAGTTCCTTGAAATTCATCCGTTGCCGCACGTTGTTTATCAATATAATTTAGTACGTCATGAGCTGGGTTGAAAAGGCAGACACAAGAAGCTCATAAAAGCGCAAGAAAATGACGTCTGAATTATCTTCTTGATGGGTCCAATTTTCTTCTTTCTTTTAATTGGTTTATACTTGGATGTATCCAGCCAACCACCTCTGCGTTCAATTTAATTGCACAGAGGATTGTTTGTCCAACATAGGGGTATGGACGACGCGACCGGCTTGGTCAACAACTTAGCAAACTCAATCTACTCATTCTGCGTAACTAGTTGAATTCTCGAGCATCAATAGTAATTACTCAAGCACTCAACCAGTTTAATCAAGTATTTATATTATTTATATATTATATATTTTAATTTTGGAATGACTATTATGAGTCCATATTTTAATAAATTTTCATGAAGTAATATTCAGTAATAAAAATGATGAATGATAAAATAATAATCTGATAAATCTAAAATATAAAAACTTAAAAACAAGAGAAGAAAAACTCGAGCTCGTGTAGCTCGAGTTTGTTATGGCTTGCGGTTTACGTGAACTCAAATGGGGCGAGTTCGATCTTAATTTCTATTATGTCGAATCGAGTTCAAGTTCAAATTTATATACTTGTTCGAATTCGAGTTCAATTTCAAGTTTAAATAGCACTGATAGTGATTGAGTTCGAATTCGAATATGTTACAACTCGAACTCAACTCGACTCAACTCGATAGACCCTATTCCAACATTGTCTCACCTTTCATTGTATTGTCATTTATCATTCACAAGCATCTTATTTTTGAATTTTTTTTGTTTCCTTAAATTCTAATAGCTAATGGAAGGATAAAAAAATTCAAATGCAACAAATTAAAATAACACTATATAATAGAAAACAAAAAATAAAATAAAAATTTCACAAAAAATCATAAAAGTTTCATCTCACTTTAGTCTTTAAACTTTGAGCATCACTGTGGCCCCAGAAACGAGTATGATTGTGGTCCGAGGAACCACTTGCTGTGCTCTGACACAGTTCGATGCTCAGTGCTTTGTCTCATGATGATAGAACAGGGGGCCTAGCGCCCGCAGCTTGGTTGGTTGTTTAAATGTGAAATTAATGTGGCAAAATGTGTTACTGATATTATATTTAATGCTTGATGTGATATCAAATTTTGTAATCCATCAGAATAATGCAAAGGATAAAATACATTTTACCCCATGTGGTTTAACAATTTTTCACATAACTTTCCTATAGTTTCGAAAGCTATATATAACCCTCTCATAATTTGGATTAAAGTGTTAAAATGATAGAAATGATCATTTGTAATAGAACCATGAAAATATTGAAATTACCGTTATTTAAAAACTAAAATGCCTAAAGTTATCAAAATATATAAACATAATATATATAACACTTTGACCTCATATGATTTTATATTTTATCATATAACCTCCTTATAATTTAGAGTTTTACCATATAACTCCCTTATAATTCTTAAAATATATGCATAAACCCCTGTAGTTAATAAATAATTTTCAACTTTACATAGGGGTACTTTTGACATTTTAGTTGACTTCATTATAAAATACAAATTTCGTTATTTTGACACTTTAATTCAAATTATGAGGGAGTTATGTATAATTTTTAAAATCATAGGAGATTATATAAAAAAGTGCTAAACCACGAGGGATAAAATTTATTTTGCCCTAATGCGAATTATATAGTGTTGTTTGTTTGCAGCTTACGGGATTATTATATCAACATTGGAAACTGAAAACTAGAATGAAAACTGAAGATTGAAATTTAAGTTCTAAAACATTTAGGTTGCGTTTGGATTGAGGGATCTGATCAAGGGTTTGAAATCCTATCGAATCCCTCCGGTTATTTATATTATTTATTAAGTATTTGAATTTGAAAATTACAAATTATTCTAGTATTTAAAATATATTTTAATAATTGGTATATTAGATAGTTAAATGCCTATTAAACAATCCAAACAACTAGCGCCATTTAGATGGACTTCAATTCTTCATCAAATTCATCAATTCAAATGAATATTGAATTTACAATGTCATATCTATTATATCCATCTGATAATCAGCTAAACTTGAACGCTGAATTTAAGTATTCTATTCTATGAATATTATTTAGTTAATATTTATATTGTTATTTTGTTTGTTAAATTACTATGTTAGATTTTTTAAAAAAATTCTAACTATATTCGAACACAGAATATGTGTATGCAGTAGAGAGATTGGGAGTATGCGTGAAGAAAATATAATCCTCTCACATAAACATTTTATATAAAGCTTAATGCATAGTCTATCAATTTAAATTCTAATTTCTTAATTTTTTTATTTAGTGAAGTTTTCAAGTCAAGCACCAGATACCACCAATTGCCTCCAATGAGAAAACCAATCTACCGTAGCATCCATGCCCACAGCTCTGGTGCCAAGAACATCACAAAATTAATCAACAATAAATTTTCATTTCTGAAAATTGACACAAGAAATTAAACAGTATTTTGAGAAGTACAAGATTAAACATCGTTGTCCGTTTGAATGATTCCTCATCCGAGTAAATCAGAAACTAACATTAGTTTTCTAAGCTGCTGTTACAAAGGAGATCATAAACTCTTTGACAACCTGACACAGGACCTTAAGTTTAGGAAGCTCAAAACCAACAATACCATGATAGCCTCCTTGTGCAAACTTAGCCACTAAAGGTACACCCTCGTCCTCCAACATCTTTACAAGCTCAACTTGACGATCAAACAATGGATCACCATCATAGCCAGTCACCAAAATCTTCCATCCCGAACCTTTAATATGACCGAATTATCCGGGTTTGATGCTCAATACTGGATTGCAAAATCCATGATCTCGGTCAGCGCCTACGGGCAATGAAAGTTCCCACATGATGTCACTAACACAGGGTGGTAAAATCTTGTCATTTACAGCCCTCAACTCCGAATCCGTCCTCTTGTTGCCACCAAAGAATGGTTGGTGGTTTGGTGCAAAATCACGCCTTTAATGTTCAAAGGCTGAAGATCATCAGCAGAAGAAGGTGCACTAAGACCAACATGATAGGATATGTTTCCTCCGGCACTAGTGCCTGGGAAACTGTTTGATAAATCTGCATACTTTGTCAGCCACTCGTCTTGAGAATTCTTGATCCAGTGCAAAGCTTGGAGGCAATCTTCAAAACTTGAGAGTTTACAATATAAAGTATTCAAAATTAAGAGTTTAGGGTGCAAAGTCTTCAAAATTTAAATTTAGAATACAAAGTGAGAAACTGGTTTAAGTTCAGGAATGCAATGCAGAATTTGTCCCATCAAAAAAAGTCTAACCTTTTACTAAAAAAGGGATCATTTCAAAAACTTCCCCTGAGATTTGTAGCAATATCACTTTATACCCCTGAACTTTGAGTAGTTTTAAAAATTTAAGAAATTCGAACTTTCTAATTTTTTTTGGATAGACCAATGACTTGAATATCAGAGACAGACACAACTTTCTAAAATTATATTTACAAACTCATTTGAGGTGTTTTTGAAAACATAACACGAACTTTCTTTATTTCAATGTATTTTTAGATGAATTTAGAATTTTTTTAGTATTCTAACACTTTTTTCCAAATTGATGGCTTGACAACAAGAGAAAGATAAATTATTAACAATACATTTAGAAACTAATTTGAGGTACTTTCAAGGCACAAAATGTTACTTTTTTCTAATTATAATAATTTTTTCTTTTGCATTCCCTTGTCTAGACTGATGACTTAAAAAATTGCAAAAGGTCTTTCAACCTAATTAATATGTTGTAATTCTTAAGGATTTAACTTGGTTTATTATGAAAACTAAAGGTCCACAAAAAAGTGTAATTTTGGAATATAAATATTTTATCTCTCCCAAAATGAGCTCTTAAATCATGGTATCTTTTAAAATGGGTTGATAAAGTTATAAAAAGTTGAAAATTAAGGGACATATGTGAGATTTCTTAAAGTTTAGAGGTGTCAAATGACATTGTCGTAAACCTCCGGAGAGGTTTTTGAAATTATCCCAAATATATATATATATATATTTCATGGGACGTAAAACGTCACTTCCATTTTCTTTTTTTCTTTTTTTGCTATCTTGTGAGAAAGTAATCAAAATAATGACAAAAACGCTCTAAAAAGCATTTTGCTAGCAAATTTTCTTTTCATGTAAACACGTGGGTTTATTTAATCTTCCAAAGCAACAAAAACAATAGTTGCTTGTATTAATTCAAGATATAAATGATAGGAGTTTGATGGAACCATTTAATACGTATGAAAAAGTGTTATTGGCTTGTGAGAATAGCAAGCATTTTGAAGACATTTGTAAAACTAAATCTTCAGTACAAAGAATCGATTTCAATAATTTTGTAGAATAGACATAGGAGGTCCCTTGATTTATATATTTCATCTCCATGGTTGGGTCAATTTTGGGTTATATAAATTATATCTAAGATCTGATTTTGTCTCTTTTTTTTTTTTTTCTGATTTTGCCTCTTCACTTATGTAACTCCCTGTATAGCCAGCAATAACGACATCCTTCTCTCCATGCAATTATCAATTTCTGAAAAAACGAATTATCTACTGTCAATCATTCAATTATTGGTCTTGGAATTTTTAGTTTTTGACTCGACTACAACTAAAAACCTTCAATACCGACTAATACATTTCTCTCCTACGAATACTAGAATATAACAATAGTTTTTTGGACCGTTGCTCAAATACTGTAAGATTTTATTAATAAAAACATCTATCGTTTTCGAAAAAAAAAAGAATACTGACATATAACAATAGTTGTGAAGAACCCCCCCTCCCAAAAAAAAAAAAATTTTTGGGTGAGGGCACGACATTGTTATAATGCACTTTAAGAATATGTTGACATCTTTTTCAAATCTTTAGGTATGGATAAACTTGGAAGTCTTGCCACCTCTTTTTTTTTTTTTTTTTTTAAAACGTGTTTTTATTCATATATGGATAAACAACATACAGAAATTTCCTTCTACATATGTTTAATTTTCCGAATTGAAGGTATTCCTATTCTGTCTAGACGTATTGCCCCACGAGCCAGTCTTGGGAACGTAGAAAAGGTGTCATATAACCTGACTTGTTGTTGTGGATGAGATACCCCCTCATTGGACAACGCATCAGCAACTGTGTTAGCCTCCCGATAACAATGTGATAAACAAGTTGCGTCCTCCAAAAAATGCCGAATCTGTCTGACCTCCCTTGTAATCTGCCATGGACACTGAATTTGACGAAGAATAATTCGAACTAAGGCCAATGAGTCCGATTGTATACATATATTCCCAAATCCCCTTTGTTTACACGTTTGAAGACCAATGAGAAGTGCCCGAACTTCTGCATGGAGACTTGTAGTTTGTCCAAAATAGGCCGAGAAACCAAAGAGTGGTAATCCCGTTGAATCCCTTAGAACACCACCACCTCCACCCAGTCCTGGATTACCCTTAGAACAACCATCTGTATTTAGTATGAACCGCCCTGACTCCTTTGACTCCCAGCGAATAACTTTGAAGGCAACCCTTCCAACAGTAAAATTCGGCAAATCATACAATTGTCGGAAGGACTGTGATCGGATTGCTTGTTTGAAATGAATCCCTACCATGGACTGAATTTCCAAGAAAATTGCTTGGCAAATTGCAGATGATCGCATTTGAGCACCTTCAAACATTGCTTTATTTCTTGCCTTCCAAATTTGCCAACAAATAATAGTAGGAATAATTCGGCCCATAATCCGCCGTAACTCAGAATCATACGACCTCAACCACCACCCTACTATACGAGAGCGCAAAGAAGTTCCTGGGCTTAATCCACATAATCCTCCAAAATAACTCCAAACTACCGACGCTGTGTGGCCGTTGGAGAATAAATGCTCAATAGACTCCTCGGATGCCGAAGGACAACAGAAACACTTGGACGGTAAATGAAAACCAAGTTCACATAGCCTATCTGGTATCGGTATCCTTCCTCGCAACAATCTGAACATAAAAAATGAAACTTTGAAAGGGATACGAGGATGCCAAATCGAAGCAAAAACCATCGACTTATTTCGAGTCTGCCTAATATCTTGAAACGCTGAATGTATGGAAAATTTTCCAGATGTTGTAGGCATCCAAAAGACTTCCACTTCACTCCCTTCTTCCGGAATGGGTTGTTGTAATATGTAGGACACATACTCCTTTGGTATTGTGTGATATAAAAGGTTCACATCCCAGTGACCATTGTTTATGAAATTATGGAATGACAACTCTAGGTTAACTGGCACTTGTAAGAACAAAGCACCACATCCTAGCCAGTTATCATACCAAAAATGACACGCCCCCTCTTTTGCAACCCATAACATAGAAAACTCCACTTGTCGGCTCACATTTACCATCCTCCGCCATATTGAGGAGTCCTTATTTTTGAGTTCTACCTGACAAGGATGAAGACCTCTGCAGTACTTTGCTTTCATGAATGTCTCCCATAGCGACGATCTTGTTCGGAAATTCCACCATAGCTTGGAAGAAAATGCTGTGTATACGTCTTGTAGTCTCCGGAAACCAACTCCGCCCTCATCAACCGGATAACATAGTTGAGACCATCTTATCCAGTGAAACTTTGATTCGTTGAATGATCCCCAAAGGAAGGATGAGCAGGTTTTTTCAATGATTTTAAACACCTTACCCGGGATCACAGATGCTGACATTAGATGCACTGGCATTGATTCCAAGACATGCTTGATTAGGACTATCTTGCCTCCGAAGGAAAGTAACCTTGATTTCCATGATTGAATCCTCCCTATAATAGACTGGCACACTCCTCCAAAATATGATGATTTACATCTTCCAAAGTAGAGCGGAAACCCTAAATAATATATCGGAAAAGGCTTGTAGGAAAACTTTGTGATACGATGAATCACCCTCCGTCTCGCCGTTGACAACATTGGATGGACCAAGTAACAACTTTTTTGCACATTAATAAGTTGTCCCGAACATCTTTGATACGCCTCTAACACCTGCATGATCGCCCTTAGAGACAAGGCGGATCCGTTTGCAAATATGAGAATATCATCCGCAAACGCCAAGTGAGTTATATCTGGACAACCATATGGAACTTTGAAACTCAAAAAGCCCGATTGCAGTGCAAGGTTGTTCAATCCTCTAGACAATACTTCAGCTCCGATAATGAATAGCGCAGGTGATAAAGGGTCACCCTGACGAAGTCCTCTCATGGACTTAAAGAAACCATGTGAAGACCCATTAATAATAATTGAAAACCAAACATTAGAAAGCAAGCGCCATACCATATCAATAAATATTTCCCCAAATCCAAAACTTCTCAGGACATTGATGATATGACCCCAAGCGACCCGGTCATATGCCTTAGACATATCTAGCTTCATAGCCACATTACCACCTCTATTCCTTTTTCCAATACCCGAAACCACCTCCTGAGCCAGTAGAAAATTTTCCGTTATATTACGACCCTTCACAAAGCCTGTTTGCTGGGGGGAAATTATTCTTGGCAACATTCCAGCCAGTCTATCCGCCAAGATCCGGGAAAGCAACTTATTGAAAAAGTTACATAGACTGATTGGTCTGAAATGAGAAAATTCTTGAGGATTTGACATCTTTGGAATTAGTACGATCGAGGTAGAAGTGATAAACCGAGGTAACTCTGCCCCACAGAAAAAACTGAGTATTGCATTATGAATATCTTGTTTGATCACTTCCCACGCAAATATAAAAAATTTTCCTGTGAAACCATCCGGGCCAGCAGCACTTTCCTCATCCATTGATTTTACTACTTGATATACCTCCTCGATCGTAGGCAGTGACTCCAGCTTTCCATTGTCCTCTGGAGAAATCATACGAGGAATTAGGTGCAACATATCTGAAAAAGAGTCCAAAGGACCCGTGAAAAGATCATTAAAATATGATATTGCTTCACTTGCTATGTCCTCCTCCTTGTCCATCCAAACTCCATTGGAATTTTTGATGCAATGTATCATTCCTTGAACACGTCTTTGCTTTACCACCGCATGAAAATACCGTGAATTCCTATCTCCCTCTTTAAGCCATTTGACTCTAGCCTTTTGCCTCCAAAACTGCTCTTCAATTGACAGTGCATGACGGAGCTCCGCTTGAGCCTTATTTAACTCAATCTGGCATTCGTCTGAGTCATTTTGATCAACCATCTCCTCTGCTCGTTGTACCGCAATTTCCGCAACATGCACAGTGTCCATGATGTTACCAAAGAATTGCTTGTTCCATGATTGAATAGCCCTTCTCGTTGTCAATAATTTAGAGCATAAGATTCGCAATGGAGATCCATCAACATTTTGATTCCAAGCTTGGCGAATCACCTCTAAGAGTTCAGGTTTGGATGTCCAAACATTCAAAAAACGGAAAGGGCGTGGCTTATTATCCAACCTAGTTGCAAATGAAATCTTCAACGGAGCATGATCCGAAGGGTGTCTTGTCAAATGGAGTACAGAAATGGCGTCAGAGAGATCCAAACAAGCCCCATTGACTAAAAATCTGTCCAACCTTTTTGAAATCCGAGCTCTACTCCTCCGATTATTAGACCACGTGAAACTTGATCCTGAAAACCCTACATCAAAGACCCCAGCCTCCTCCATGAAAGACATGAAATCAGCTCCTTCTGCTATAGCAAATGGACGTCCTCCACATTTTTCGTGAGGTGCCAAAATGACGTTAAAGTCCCCCCCAATACACCAAGGATGTAATGTAGGTTTATCATTTAACAATGAACACCATAATTCTCGACGCTCCTCCACCGAACACTTTGCATGAACAAAGGACATGATAATTGGACTAGGAAGCAACGGGTTTTGAACATGTAGAGATATATGCTGGTCTGAACTACCAACAGTGGAACAAATAAAAGGACTACTATAGAAAACCCAAATATCACTCGAGCAATTAACAAAGACAAAATCAAATGATAAACGAAGACGAATGGACTCAATTTTTGACACATCTACTTTTGGTTCACATATCACAACAAAATGAACGTGATGAAACCGTACTAGTTTAATCAATCTTCTTAGATTAGGAACCTTTGCAATCCCTCTAATATTCCAAAATATTCCATTAATCATGAGAAAGAGCATGGAATGAGTTTTTGGATGATGTCTCTGACCTTAATTGTCTGTCGGATGTAAATCGGGCACGAACACCCTTTCCTCGCATTTGTCGGAACTCACGGTCATCCCTTTGTGGTTGATCAATATTTAAAGCGTCACTTGATGATTCCAGCTGCTGCTGAGGTGGGACCACCAATCTTGGAGACAAATTGCCCGCAACTGCATTGTCTGTGGAAACAAAATCATCCTCAGCCCCACGCAAGTCAACATAAATATTGTCCAATGCATTACTTTCGGCCATGTGATGATGCTCAAATGTCAATGAGTTGTCTGCTGGAAGATGGGTCCCTGGTTTCTCATTTGCTTGTTGCTTATCCAGCTGGTCACTCATTATTGTTTGTTCCCCATGATGTGCATTCGATGAACCATCCATTTGCGAAAGTGCTTGGATAACAATGTTGTCGGTTTCATCTCCCATAGCAGCAACTTGGCCTTCAGCAAAAATTGAACTTGGTTTGCTTATGAATGAGTCTTTAGGAACTGATGCGTCATCTTCCTCTTCAAGCATAATAGGACCAGCGTCCTCCTTCATAGGATTTTTTTCTGCCTGCCTTCATCTCCTTCAACCAACAGTGGATTGAGCTGGTCGTCATTATGAACTATTTTATCTCCTTCCTCGGCCAACATATCAGAACCAGCAGCTACCTCTACTGCAATCTGTTGTTTTCCACCTTCATGAATCATATCTGTAATTCGCACATCCTGAGATTCATTCACAACAGCTTTTTTACGGACCGTTTCAGGGTGGGACAACTGAACGTTATTCCCTTGTAAAATTAATCCTTGCTGCTGATGATGATGCCGCATTCCATCCTCAATCAAATTCTTTTTGCACTCCCCTTGAGAATGACCCAAACGAAAGCAAGATGAACAATAAGTTGGCATGTTCTCTGGAACAATACGTTGCCAAAAACCAGATTCCCCTTCTACAGCAACCCAGACCCTAGACACGATGATTTTCGCTATATCGATCTCAACACACACTCTGGCCACACTAGGACGTGTTCCAGCAGCCGTTGCTGAATCCAAGAACATGGGTCTTCCTACTGGTGACAATATGGAGAACAAAGAATGTTTATCAAAATAATGAATAGGGAGAGTCGGAAGAGTTACCCAAATCGGTACCAACGAAGACTCCCTATGCACATGGAAATCCCTGGTCCATCTGAATACACGCATTGGATATTTGCTCAATTGCCAAACTCCTCTCGTCCAAATTCTGTTAAAGTCTGCTTCAGCAGTGCATTTAATAAGAACATGCCTGTAATCCATCAATCCAATGGAAACTTGGTCTTTCAGGTTTAATGAAGCAAAAAACTTTCGAGTAGTTTCCAATGAAGGTCGCCCGTGAGAGAATTTTCCAACCAAAGCCCATCGAAAAGGTGCCGCAAGTCTGTCCGCGTCTGCTTTTGAAAAAACAACAGCAGCTTCTCCCTTGTAAACTGATGCCTGCGTGATCTGGATTTTAGATACCGCCGGTTGTGTAAAGAGTTGAGAAAAAGATTTTTTTCCTGTAGGAGACATCCCTTGCCCCTCAGCCGAAGGCTGAAGGGCAGCCATGGATCCTTACTTCACTAATACAATTCAGACGAAGAATGAAGAAGTTGCAGAGAGAAGTTCATACAAAGAGGGTGAATCGTAATTCTTGCCACCTCTATATTTGACTATCAGTATAGTATTGTTAGATTTTTTTTTTTAATTTCTCTTAATAAAAAAGTTTTAATTTCTCTTAATTGTAGAATTAGTTTTAAGAGACACTACAAACTACACACACACACACATATATATATATATATATATATATATATATATATATATAGATAATAACACGTAAAAATCACCAATTACCTTCAATCAGATCAGAAGAAGACCAATACTGTGGCATCCATGGCATATATGCCTGTACTAAATGAGTTTTTATCAAGTTAAGCATTATTAATTCTTAAACCATTCTGAACCAGTATGTGACAAGACTAGGTGCCAAGAACATCACATAATTAATCAACATTATTGATTTCCATTTATGAAACTTGCAAGAAATTTAGCAACATGTTGAGAAGTACAAAGATTTAACATCATTGTTCATTTGAATAAATACTCATCCAGGTAAAAACCTCTGACATAGTTGTCTAAGCTGTTGTCACAAAGGAGATTATAAACTCCTTCACAACCTCACAAAGGACTTTAGTTTTGGGAAACTCAAAAGCGTCTATTCCATGATAACCTCCTTCAACAAAATTAGCCACCACGGGAATACCCTCGCCTTCTAACATTTTGGCAATCTGAAATTGGCGATCAAACAATGCATCATTTTCATATCCTGCCATTAAAATCTTCCATCCTAAAGCTTTAATCTGATCGAATTGTCCAGGTTTGATGCTCAAAACTGGATTAGAAAATTCATGATCTCGGTCAGCACCTAAGGGCAATGAAAGTTCCCACAAGACATCAGTAACACAGGGCGGTATAAACTTGTCATTCAGAGCCCTCAACTCCGATTCAGTCCTCTTTTTGCCACCAAAAAATGCTTGGTGCAAAATCAACCCTTTAATATTCAAAGGCTTTAGATCATCAACACATGAAGATGCACTCAAACCAACATGATAGGCAATGTTTCCCCCTGAACTGCTGCCCATGAGGAAACTGTTTGATAAATCTGCATACTTTTCCAACCATTCGTCTTGTGAATTCTTGATCCAGTGCAAAGCTTCCAAGCAATCTTCGTAGGCTGCCGGCAGCCTGTGCTCGGGGGCAAGACGATGCTCGATTGATACGATTACAAACGGGACCTCGGTAGCTAAAGCTCTATGAAAATCATCAAAACCGGTCGTGGCCACGCTGCCAATCACGAATCCTCCACTATGAAAGTAAATCAGGAGCGGAAGTTTCCTGCCCGGGAAGGATTCAAGTGCTTCTTTCGGTAGGAATATACGGGCACCAGTGTTCTTGGATTGGTTAATGGGGACATCTTTGACAAGAAGGATAGGGCTGCCATCATAGGAGGAGACGGGTGTTTTTGGATGTTCAAATTGACGCGTGACTGAGCCGTCGGGGTTCCAGACTAAGCCCAGATGACCATAGGGATCAACATGAGGATCAGCGAATGAAATTGCTGCAATTGGATCAGCCATAAGGGATGAGAATTTTGACTGCCTTTTGGTGTAAGCTTTGGAGCTAGCGTTTATGAGTTTGACGTTATTTGAAGACTTGGAAGTGCACAGAAAGAAAGGTTAAAGGGTCATTTCGTCAGTTCCTTGGAATTCATACATTGCCACACGTTGTTTATCAATATAATTTAGTACGTCATGAGCGGGGTTGAAAAAGCAGACACACAAGAAGCTCATAAAAGCGCAAGATTTGAGAGGAAAATGACGTCTGAATTATCTTCTTGATGGGTCCAATTTTCTTCTTTCTTTTAATTGGTTTATACTTGTATATATCTAGCCAACCACCTTTGCGTTCAATTTAATTGCATAGAAGATTTTTTGTCCAATGATAGGGGTGTGGACGACGCGAGCGACCTGGTCAAAAATTTAGCAAACTCGATCTACTCATTCTGCGTAACTAGTTGAATTCGAGCATCAGTAGTAATTATTCGAGTACTCAATGAATTTAATTAAGTATTTATATTATTTATATATTATATATTTTAATTATGGAATGACTAGTATGGATCCGTATTTTAATAAATTTACATGAAGTAATATTTAGTAAAAAAAATGATGAATGATAAAATAACAATCTAATAAATCTAAAATGTAAAAAATTAAAAACAAGAGAAGAAAAACTCAAGCTCGTGTAGCTCGAGTTTGATATGGCTTGTAGTTTACTCGAACTCAAACGAATCGAGTTCGATCTTAATTTTTATTATGTCGAGTATAGTTCGAGTTCAAATTTATATACTCGTTCGAATTCGAGTTCAAGTTCAAATAGCACTGATAGTGATTGAGTTTGAAATCGAGTATGATGCAACTCAAGCTCAACTCGACTCGATAGAACCCTAGTCCAACATTGTATCACCTTTCATTATATTGTCATTTATCATTCATAAACACCTCATTTTAGAATTTTTTTTGTTTCCTTAAATTGTAATATCTAATAAAAGGATAAAAAAAAATTAAAATACAACAAATTAAAATAACACTATATAATAGAAAACAAAAAAAATAAAATAAAAATTTCACAAACAATCATAAAAATTTCATCTCACTTTACTCTTTAAAATTTGAGCATCACTATGGCCTCCAGAAACAAGCATGATTGTGGTCCGAGGAGCCACTTGCTGTGCTCTGGCACAGTTCGATGCTCGGTGCTTTGTCTTATGATGATAGAACAGGGGGCCTAGCGCCCGCAGCCTGGCGGTGGTTTAAAAGGTATTGACAGCAACAAAACACGGGAAAAAAATTCAAAAAACGAAGAAGAAGAAGAAGTTGTCATCTAAGTGTGAAATTAAAGTGGTAAAAGGTGATTACTGATATTATATTTAATGCTTGATGTGATATCAAATTTTGTAATCCATCACAATAATGCAAAGGATAAAATAGATCATACCCCCCGTGGCTTAGCAATTTTTCACATAACCCCTATATAGTTTCAAAAGTTATATATAACCATATCATAATTTGGATTAAAGTGTCAAAATGATAGAAATGATCATTGTAACGGAATCCATAAAATATCGAAATTATCCTTATTTAAAAACTAAAATGCGTGAAGTGATCAAAATATATAAATATAATATACATGACACTCTGATCCCATATGATTTTATATTTTACTATATAACCCCCTTGTGATTAAGTATTTTACCATATAACCCCCTTATAATTCTTGAAATATATACATAACCTCCTGTAGTTAATAAATAATTTTCAACTATACATAGAAGTACTTTTGATATTTTAATTGACTTCATTATGGAATGCAAATTTCGTCATTTTGATACTTTAATCCAAGTTATGAGGGAATTATGTATAATTTTTAAAATCATGGTGGGGTTATACAAAAAAGTGCTAAACCACGGAGGGATAAAATGTATTTTGCCCTAATGCTAATGATATATTGGTGTGTTTAGATTGAAATGTTTTGAGATAAAATAATTTGCTTCACAAATCCCAATCACTTTGCATCTCACATACATCACATCACAAAAATTGCTACAGTAATTATTTCAAATAAATCATCCAAATAAACTCATATCCAATCAAATAGTGTTGTTTGTTTACAGCTTACGGGATTATTATATCAACATTGGAAGCTGAAAACTAGAATACGAAACTGAAGATTGAAATTTAAGTGATAAAACATTTAGGTTGCGTTTGGATTGAGGAATCTGATCAAGGGTTTGAAATCCTCTTGAATCCCTCTAGTTATTTATATTATTTACTAAGTATTTGAATTTGAAAATTACAAATTATTCTAGTATTTAAAATATATTTTAATAATTGTATATTGGATAGTTAAATGCCTATTAAACAATCCAAACAACTAAAGCCATTTAGATGGATTTCAAATTCTTCATCAAATTCCTCA